AAAATCTTCAAGTTCTAGAAATAATACAGCCTCGTAGAGAGAAAATGGACAAAATACAGAATCTTTTTCAACTAAATACAACATATAAAATTGTTTTCGAAATTAATTAACTCAGTTTATCTTAAATATTGTCAGTTTAAAATTCTTTCAAAATTGTCCGCTTTCAATTAATTATTTAATGGTTTTATTTCACAAACATCTTCAATTGTTTTCTTATATTGTATAAATACTTGACACATCTTTATAATTTGTGATTGTGTTAAAGCTTTTGTGGATTGAAATATTAATTTGATAACTAACTAATTTATCCGTGTTTACAGTTATTTGCTGACATTTCAGATCCATCGCAGAGTCTATTCTCAGAGCGACAGCACTGTTTTATTGTGATTATAGTGGTGACGGTGGAACAGTGACTGTTTCTATAAAGATAACCTCCCTAGTGAGTCTGAAACGTCAGTTAAAAACTTAAGACATGGATGAATCTGAAAATAATCAAATGACTTAATAATTTTATATTTATTTATTAGTCATTAAATATTTCTAGCTGACACTATGCAGATTAATAATGACTATTTCTGGATACTAATTGTACACTACTACTAGTGGCGTTGCTTGATACTTGGTGGTCCTAGAACCTATAGGAAATAAAAGTCTCATCAACCACAGAAATTAAATTATAATGATAAAAAAAATTAGTTATTGATTGGTGCTATAATCTAAAAGTAAAAATAATTGATGTAATTTTTCACTTCTTAAAAATGTATTAAAAACTATAACATAGTATGCACAATATTGCATACCTAGCATTAAACTTTCGAGGCTTCATTTGAGTGAACTTGTCAATGATTTTTTCTATTTTTTATAAAAATAATTGATAAACTACTAAAAATTATTTAAATTACCAATACAGACTTAAAGTTAGCAACACAATGTTCTATCAATTTTTTGTTCATAATTTCATTAGTTAAAATATGCACTGTTTTTTTTTTAGAATGAGCCGAATTCTGTTGAAGGAAGATGAAACAAAAACAGAAGTGGATGCAATTGATGGGCGGTGTTTGACTTCACAGATTCATGTTGAGAACACAGAGCTGGACGACACTGTCAATGTAGAAAAATCATATATATGCAATGAGTGTAATAAATCGTTTGCCACTAAAAAGAAAATTGCCCATCACTTGACAAAAACACACAATAATTTATATTCAACATCAAAAAACAGTCTCCCAACAGAATTTCAAAAAAATCACCAAATGTCAATACAAAATGGTAGGAAATACCAATGTAATGTGTGTGATAAATGTTTTGGTAGCAGATCTAATCTCCATCATCATCGGAGGGTTCATAGCGTAGAGAGACCATTTGCATGCAGTATTTGCGATAAAACATTTAAACGGAACTATGAGCTGACGGTTCATTTGCGAGTGCACACTGGCGAACAACCGTTCAAATGCAATGTCTGTGACAAATGTTTCACACGCTCATCTCAACGAGTTAGGCACCAAAAAACACATAGTGGAGAGAAACCGCATGTATGTGACGTATGCCAAAAAGCGTTCACTCTAAAGACATCCCTTACATCGCATCAGCGTACTCACACTGGGGTGAAGCCCTTTAAGTGCCCAGATTGTCCTAAGACCTTCACTAGTTCTTCAAATTTCACTAAACACCGGAGGTTCCATAGTGGAGAGAAGCCCTATGTGTGCAGCGTTTGTCAGAGATGTTTCGCTCAAATTTATTCGCTCAAAATACACGAGCGCACTCATACCAGTGAAAAACTGTACAAATGTGAAGTTTGTTTAAAATATTATACATCTTCGTCCAATCTTATTGATCATCACAATGTTCAGGGCGGCAAAAAACCATACAAATGCAATGAGTGCTCTAAATAATTTGCCCTAACAAGCATCTCGAGCTGCTTAAACGTATCCATGCTGAAATGCAATATCTGTGAAAAGTCCATATGCCCATAAGTCAAATTTAAAAGTACACAAGCGTAGTCATACTAAAAAGAAACGCTAGAAAAGAGAGATGTTCATTACACATTGTCAGTTACACAGCAGAGAAATCCCTATTATATGAGTGGACAATATAACACAATATATTCTGTTGTGTATACCCCGCTACATTTTGTAAATATCTTTTATAGATTTAATTCTGTTTCTATTTGACGTACATTATGTATTTTGTTATTATTTTTTTTTGTTAAACTAGATTGTAACGAATTTTTTTTTTGCAGTAGTTATGTGTAAGTTAAGTACATCAACTCGTTTTCGATGCTAAAAAACAATAATAAAACTAAATAAATTTGTTTTTCGATAAATACGAAGATCCCTATAATATTTTTATGATAGTTTGGATAAAGTTAAAAGTTAAAAGATTGATTGAGATACTAACAGGCATTCGTCATTGGATTACAATTCACAAGACGAATGAATTAAAAATAAATCCTTGCGAGTTAAAATTAGGATGTATTTAATATGGGCTTTATTAAAAATTAAAATAGCTTTGTGCACAAATACTCCAATAGTATGTCAAAACGGAGAATATTATTAACTTATGACTAATCATAACATAGGCTTAAGTGAATAAAAATTGTTAAAAGGTACTTCATAAATCATTATTTTAAAAACATTAAATTATACGTTATTTGAAATAAGTAATATTATTCGAAACAGTAAATAAAATTGTAATGCGAAAAACTTGTTTTTGTTTAATTATTACTTGTAAACTCAAATTATCCAGGTTTGTTATCCAGGTAATGTAACAATAGGAACAGTAAAAAAAAAACAACAAAACTTAAACTTAATTATATGCCTATTTTTTAGAATTTCATTATTGAATATACATAAACTTACAACCACGTGTTTCTCTTACATTTTTTCTCATTGATCATCTTGTTTATTTGACAAAATATTTACAATTAATACAATAATCTGCTTAATAAGTAAATTAGTTAAGCTATTGCAATATTGTAAGCGCTTGTCATATATTTATAAGTTGACTAGCAAGCTATATGGGATCTATGGACTTTTGAGAGTTAAATATGATACTCAAGCCAGTCAACTTGTTCAGCCTAAATATTTGATTTACAGTAGTTATACCAACCTAACATAAAAAATAATGCGCACTGGCCGCTTAAAAACACTCAAATCATTTTATCTAATAACTCCATCGTGTGTGTTTTTTTTTAATACACATAGAAAATTATATCACTAATAAAATATTTTTATTTTTGTATTACTTAACATTCAAATTTACAAACAGCGGCAGGTATGACATAATTGATATGTACGGATTACAATTGTTCATGTTTATAAATTATGCTACAAAATAGTAAGTAAAACGAATAAACAAACTATTGAATTAACTTTTTATTGGATACACTTGTAAAAGGGATAGTTTTGTGGGAACATCTAATTTAAAAAAAATAGTTATTTAAAAAATGTAAAAAAGTATAAAGTGTAAAGAACGGTTAATAAGCAAAAATACAGCATAGCATTTAATTTTATAAAACGTTCATCCTCTCAACTGGATCTTTGTGCAAAATGTATAACAGGCACCAATGATTTAGACGACAACTATTCAAATGAATTTCAAACATTTGCACTTAACACCTGTTTAGTACCTATACTGTGCTGGTTTTGAAATATGCTAGGTGTAGACTCTGTGCTGGATTCTTTCTGTTTCCAGATTCGCATTTTCTTATCCGTATGGTAAACAACGAAGACGAACGTAGGGAGGTTTGTAAATTTAGTAATTCAGCTCTGACAACTACACAAGCAGTACAGCTGGTCCCAGGGGCGTGGAGCAAGGCAAATCCGGGGTGCATTCACTGGGGTGCCGTTTCTCCCCTTCCTGCCGGAGAACAGTCGGTCTTAATGGTCTTTTCGCCTTTTGTTCCCGGCACTTGGGGGACTTGTGCGACCCTCTGTTTGCACAGGGCGACGTGATGGGATTTTTTTCCCCCGTCGAAATAACGTAAGACGCTTACTACAGCCCTTCGTAGTAACCCCTCGTACAACCCCCCGTAGTTGGGGTGTCTTTTTTATACCACTGCAGAGGAAATGACGTGTCGGAGTTGTGTGTGTGTGCTTTAACAGTAGGTAGTTTTAGCATCAAAAATTACAACAGCGAGGCCTTTTTGTTTAACCGTTAACTTGGCACACCATGAAAATCACTACTGAAAATGATTAAGTTTACTATATTATTTGATTAATATGAGGTCGCTGAATTAAAAAAAAAAATAATAATATAACTCTTCTAGTTTTTCAGCTACCAAAGAGTACATTACAACGATACAAAAAAATAGTAGTTGTAAAATTTTGTTTGAATCCATTATTTTTTTTTCAAATTACATTCTGGCTTATTTATCAATAATAATTTGTCATGATGGATTTTAATGTGAACTCAGGGACACCTAAAATATATCAAATATTTACAAAACTATTTTAAACATTTTCCTTTATTCGAAAATCTGTATCATTGATTTCGCACAAACAACACAGCAATTTCCGCATTATTCAAACGTACCGCCGACAAGACAAGACAAAACATACAAGTTCAAACAAGAACTCGAATTGTACTATCTCACTCATTCGAATTTATTTAATTACGAGCCCCAACTAATATGCCCAACATGCAACAAACCAAACACTATAAAACACACGCAGAGTTGTGCATTATTTGAATAATTTAAATAAATATTATTTAAATAGTGTTTTTTTTTTCAAGTAATTATATTTTAAATATATACTTAAGCTTAAATAAAAAATATAGATAGGTGTGTTATTTGTGAGTACTTTGTTGCAATTGTATTTCTCAACCCATGCAGCGAATAACATTTCATTTTTATTTGTATAGAATTTATAACTTGTGGTGTAAATTACAACTGTATTTACTTTTAGTATTATAAAATCATTATTATAATAAAACAAATAATAAATTAAATTATAATAATTTACATACATTACAAATATAATATTACTACATAAGGTGGAACAAAAATTATAAATGTACTTTATTTGTGAATAAAAAAAATAATCAATGTTAGTGTTAATTTAATTTTAAAAAAAAGATACAAAATCTTATAATTCAAATCTTTCAGTTAAAAAGAATAATTTTCTATTATTTTTTTTTTAAATAATGACAATATCATTAAACAAACAATATTATAGTAGTACTACTAAAATTAAACAGTGTAATTAAATATTTAATAAAAAACGAGACATCAACAATGAGCATTTCCGCGACTCATGCGAATTGTCAGGCTGTCCAGAAAGAATGGCGTATTAAAGTTTAGGAGAAGACAAATTGCAATGTCATTGCATTACCGACATGTGCAAAGTAGGATACATGATTTAGCCGTGAAAATAAATGGCATTAATCGCCTTCGCTCAGAAGGTTCATCGCAAGCACATAACAATAAGGACCTAACTTGGCTTTTAGATTTTTAAAGTAATCGAAAAATTCTTTGAGGAATTCCATCATCATATTGTCGTTGCTCAGTTCGTCGTATACGTCGACGCTGATCCAATCGCTTCCGTTGGAATTCCTGCCGTTCAACTCGACTAAAGCGTCTTTGGCTTTTCTCGATACTCTAGCTATGAGATTGCCGAGACTTGTGTTTTCCGGCCGGGTCCAGTGGTACTCTGTGACTGTATCATAAAAAAAATTGTCCGTATGCGACATGAATTCCATTACCGTATTTATTATGTTGATGGACTGCGTGTAAAATGTATTGAAACGGTTCTCGTCCATGTTGGGCGGCATTTTTTCGCGGAAAATCACAAACATCACCCACAGATAGACGTACGCTCTGGTGGTGACGATTTGTTTGATCAACTTGTGGTAACTGAGGTGTCCGAACGGTTTCGATATCCATTGGCGGTCCGCAATGTATTCATCGGTTTTGTCCACTTCGGCTGCGTGCCGTCGTATCGCTGGTCCCCATTCCACGACCGAGCCGGTGATTTGGCCGAACAATAATTCGTGTTCGTCCCATAACGGTTTTAGATACAGACCTTCGATAGATATGTTTTTCATGGCGTCGTACGCGATAGCTGTTGCAGCCGCGCCTCTAAGTTCTTGAAACATGTTGACCGGCACGTTGGAATTTTTCCACGCCGAACCGGACGACTCCGCTCGGTTTTTGGGAAGGTATTTGTTATCCTTGCAATACTTTATGAAATCTGCAATACCGCTTTGCAATTCCTCTTCTCCGAAAACAGTTTGCCCGAAGAAGTTTTTGTTGCTCTCGTACTCAACGATCGCCGCGATTTTCAAATAATAACTCCAAAACCATTTGCCCGCTTTGACTTGGCCCATTTGGAACGTCAGAACCATAAGACCCGCTTCTTCCTTCAACACGGTCAATTTGTCTTTTGCCACTTCTATAGCTCCGCCACTTTGCAAGCCTTCCAGAATATTTGACAAGTACGCCAGTTTGGGTTTAACGATTAGAGAGCAAGTACATTTCAAATCTTGCAGTTTCTTTTCGAATTTATCAAACCCCATATCGAGGCCTTTGGTGTCGTTGTAAGTCCGAACGGGAGTTGTCAGAGTTGTGATTTCTTTTTCACTCAATTTTATTTCTCGCTCATTGTAGGTTATCAAATTATTCACTATATTAACGTATGAAACACTGAACGCTTGATTGATGTAATATGACGGCGAAACCTGTAAAAATAAAATATAATAATATTTACTCAATACAATATTTATTATAGGTTGGACACGACAATTTTAGGACTTTCTAAATGTTATAAGTGTGTAAAAACGTACTTTTAATATGGTGGAAAAAAAATTATACTTACTTTGTTGTTTGTTGATTCAATTATCATAAAGTAGTCGACTGTTAGTATTACAAATGTTGACAAAAAGATACAGTTGTGTGCAATCATTTTTTAAAAAGTTTTACTACTTAAGTGCAACTAGTCAAAATGGAATTATAGGTAATAATGTATAGCTGAGTTATTCGAGTTATAACGGAAATAGCGGTTTACACTGGTAACCGAAATTTGTTTCGCACATTTGAAACATCTTAAGCAAACACTTTTGTTTGTATAACGTATTTATAAATTATGAACGGCTAATAAATTCTAGACACCTAGACAAAATAAAAATAATCTAGTTTACTTATCGTTATTTATGGCGTTAGACTTTTGTGCGAATATACTATAAACCCTAATAGTGTTGGAGACTAATTATGTAGTTGGTAAAATCAAAAAAATTAAAATATATATCATTTTATTAAGGTAATTTTACGACCTTTTATTTGAAAATTTGTCAGGTGTTTGAACTCATATTATGTATCCATAACATAGGTATTAAACGAAGGAAAAATTTAAGACTATAGTATTTTTTTTTAATTGCCAAAAAACTGTTTTTCGCAGACTTTGTCTATATTTTTTTTTTTACATAAACACGTTAAATCTTAAAAACAAATTATTATAAAATCATGACAATATTTTTTATGGACATCTCTTTAAGAGTTTTGTGTACTTAAATACAAGTTTTAGGTTATAATTTTTTTATTTTTTTACCTGGCCGAGTAAAATTGAAAAAAAAATATTATATCGAAATCACCGATCGCAAAAAAATAATTTGACCACTTTTGATTTTTTTTGCACTAAAATCAAAAAAACTGTTCAATAAAGTTTTGAAATTTTTTTTTACAAAAGTGGTCAAGTAATTATTATAGAACTGAATGAATTTTTCTGTGAAACCCTACTTGTTACACTTTTTGACTGTTAACCTGCTGCTTGAAGGCTCTGTTTATACTGCCAAGTTGACCTATGCTCGGTTATTAAAATATACTATTGGCTTCTTCTCGCCATAAAACAAAAAACCAAAATAGAAAGAACATATTTTCTTTGTGTGCCTAAATAAAGGAAGAAAAAGTACAAGTACACATAAATTGAATATATATACATATAATTAAATCCAATCGATGTAAAATGAATGCCTTGAAAGCCTTACATCTAAGTTAAACATTTTTTTTTTTGTTTGATCTAGTTTACTATATAATCGCATAACCTAAACCATACTTAAAATTACCATATTGTAATTTGTATGTTACCTATATATAGTGGAGTTTTATAAATATATTATAGAGTTAGCTGTACTATATTATCTTAGTTACAAATCTATAACAACTTTTCGTTTTATAGTTGTGGTTGGTTTAATCATATAATATAGAAAGCTGTTATTATTTGTATGTGCTTAAATTAATTATATTTTACTCTTTTGTCAACTCTAATGGTGTGGGTAAATATAGAATGCAGTGATAGTTTATGTCTTACTTGATATTATAAAAACTAAGTATTTTCATGGACCATACAGAAAGTTATAGTAATGGTTGTTATTGAAAAAAAAACTATTTATAGTAAAATATGTGTTCTTACATAATATCATGATTATAAAATACAATCACAGTTAATCATCAGAAAAATAATATCTTAAATAATCATTAATATAGTTTTTTAAACGAATATAGTAGTTTATCATTTTTAGCTCGATCAATGGCTCGCTTAATTGTAAAATTAGCTTCCCTAAAAAATAACATATCATATAGGTACCAAACAAATTTAATTTACTAATAAAAAGATGAAGTGAAATAGAAGGTTCTCAACCGTACACCAGTTGACTTTTGGGTCTCAGATTTTGATGAATTAGTTTAATACACATGTTTGGAAAGTTAAAAATTGTGAAAAATATAATTTAAATATTATAACTTGTGGGAATTGGGGTTGCAGTTTAAGATAGTGAATTCAAAGTACAAAACTTGTATATATTTTTACAGTTGTTCGAGGTATGTAAATTATTGTTTTCAGAAACATCTCCCGGATCTAAAAATATTAATCCAAACAAATTCTAACCCTATTTTTAACAGCTATGGTTTCTATCTTATAACTACAATAGTTAAACAACAATTTGTGTCGGATGAAACCTACAACTAATTAATCACAATGTCACTCGTCTTCGTCGGATTTCAAATCGTTGTTTATTAAATTTAAAATCGTTTAAACATGATAAAAATGTCTTCCTCGTTCACAGATTAGTTTTTGTAACGTGTCTCAACTCTCAAGGTAAGTATAACTTTACCTTCTAAGTATTATTTACTATCTGTCCCAACTAGCTTTTACCTGTAGTTATTCGGTGAAATTCAAAAAACAAATTATAATAACAATTGTGCAGCCACTTATGTGTTTTAATTTTTGTTTTGTAGTAGTTTTAAAAATCCATACCTATATATGAATATATATTATCATTTTAAATAAAATAATTTGATTGGCTGACCCTTACGCTGCCATTTTGTTTTTATCATGGACAATTTCGATGGAGAGGGGGTAGAAATACAATTACATTAATAAAACTTTGGCCTCTGGGGTTTTTCAAAATTGTAATTATTAGGCAAAATGTCCGGGTCCGTATAATAGGATGGTCTTTATTTTTTAAGTTTCCAATTTTGATTCAAAGACAACCCAAATTTGTTATTACATAATATATCAAATAATGTGAGTAATAATAATAATATTATATGTGTATGAAATTAAGTTATGATTAATGTGTGCGATACCTACAGTTTGTTGGGGTTTTTTTTTCTATATTTTTTTTATATCTTCTACGATCGACTGAAAGCCTTAAGCAAAATTTTACACAAAAAAAATTATATTTTCAAGAAAAAAGGTACTTTGTACATGTATTGCCAGATCAACCATTTAGTTAGTTTTTACAGATGAATTTATGGAATTTTTATAATAATAATAATGTCAATAATTACATATGTGTCGGTTACTTAGAATAAAAAAACGTTTTAATCAAATTTATATTATAATACTTATACATTTGCACAGTTAGACTTGGAGGGCTTAAATGCCCACAAAAACTCACTAACACTACCTCTCACCGTCAAAAAAAAAGTATTTTATAAATGTATTTAAAAAAGTTATTTGGAAGTCTAATTTAAATGATTGGAATACATATTTAATTTTGTTTTTATATTATCATGAAACTACTGTGCACATGTTATTCATTATTTAACGGTAGTCCAACACCACATAAAAGCCAATAATAAAGTATAATAATATATTATCAGATATTTTTGTGAACCAAATAATATTATTACCGTAATACCATTATTGCATAATATAATATTTAGTATACTTATTATACAATGATGCTGTAGAAATGACTTTAAATTAAAAAAAAACTATATATATTATTATATTACATTATTAATAAAATATGCAATAAGGAAATTGCTTTGATAACTTTATGGAATTTTAAATACAGTTTATATTTATTTAAAAAATGTTCAACGTTATTTTGAACTAAAATACTTTTTTACTTTGCAGTAATAAGCAGTGATAAAATTGCTGTGTTGATTTTGTAAAATTAACTATTTCAATTACTTGTTTTTTATTAAAGTAAAACGTTTAAAATAGATGTGTACAAATTTAATATATTTTAAGTATCTCTATAAGTAAATATTAAATTCATAAACACAAGTTACATTTGGTAAATAAGTCAGAAATGTAATTTAAAAAAAAAAAAAACATTTGTATTGAATGGTTATTGGTATATTTTTGGCTACAATTCATTGCTAACTTTTTTATTGTCAGACTATCACAGTAATTTCTATAGGATAAATTACAATTGTTTTTCATAGGCACAATTTCACTAAAAAAATTGAGAGTGCTTGAGCTCTGCATTTTCCATGTAAGTATTTAAATTAAATTTAATATTAATGAGGTCAATGTTTTTTTGAGCAAGGACTATTATCAATTTGACATTATTAACACTTAAGTTTATTAGCATTTTTATTTTAAAACAAAAACTATTAAAAATGTATGCAATATTATAATTTACAGGTATTTTATACAAGAGATATACGCTTTGCTTATTCTGCAAATGTGTGAATACCTATGTTTATGTTAACCAGATGTGCCATATATTTTTCTATTTATAATATTGGCAAATATATAAGTCTGTCCTGTTTCATTGAAACCCTAAGACAAATTTTTATTTTCCTCAAAGCAGTAAACGAGCGTTCACAAGATGCACAACTAATAGGGAAAGTGATAGCCACACATGAAATTGATAAATATTACTGTAATAATAAGTACTATTATCAACTCAGCAAAAAGCTTTTGGGTTTTTTTTTATATTAAACATTTTTATAAGCACAGGCTTAAGCACATTAACAGAGAAAATATTAGAGGGGGATTATTTTTTAATTTGGAGTGCTAGTACCCCATAAGCTCTTTATTGATATATAGATTGCATGTGGTCTGTTTTTAAGAAGTTTTGTATGGGCAATATTTAAGAAAAACGAGGTTTTAATCAATTTCGACCATGTCAATAGTTATTATACTTATTAATTACAGGTGAATTTGTATAAGCTTCAAGGTAGGTATTACTTTTAATAATTGAAATAATTTTTTCTACGAGTTAAAGCCGTTTTGGTTTATTTTAGACCAAAAAGCCAGACAAAATTTCAACTACATTGGACGGTCTAATTGAAATTTTGTTTGACTTTTTGGTCTAAAACGCCAAAATAAATAAATTAAAAAAAAAAACTTGTTTAAAAACATAAGCTTTTCTAAAAGATAGTAAAAAGGTGAACTAAAAAGTTAAAAATAATTTTACTACAAGAACAATTGCAATACCAATCACAATTGTAGCTCATTTTATTTAAAATGTCAATTACTTTGAAAATGAACTACAATTTTAAGTGATGTTAAACATCTTTAATTTTTTACTAAAAACAAAAACGTGGGACCTATTCAACAAAGTTCCTAATAAATTTATCAGATAACGTTTTGTATTGAAAGTTTTTTTGTAATTTAAATTTGGTTCAATATTAGTGTGTGACACATACATTTTATAATACTTGACTCAATGAACTTTTTTTTTTTTACAGTGGTTCAATTTTATTTTTATTTTTGAAATAGGAGGTTTTTAGAGGTAGGTATTCCCTGGACTCTGATAAAACTTAACACGGCGAAGATACTTATCTCACAAAAATCATCATTTGTTGTGTATAGATATAACAAGGGCTCGGATGTTAATGACCATAAATGGATTAAAATGCACATATTTTAAAAAATGTCAACATATTATGCAGTTTTCAAATAGCCGACATGACACAATATATTTAATATCATAACATTAAATTACAATTATTTTGATGACGTTATAATATTATTTTGTGAATTCTAAATAGTCCATTACTAAATGGTTTTTGTATACATTGAAAATTACTTACCCTTCTGCTTTCTGTCTATAATGATAATAATTTTGTGATTGTACTGAGATCGTCGTGATCTGGCGGCGAAACACCAAAACTCCAAACTACGGCGTGCCGTTACCGTTAGATGGCGTCACGCGACCTAAAACGACAAGAGTCCGAATAACAAACAAACAACACAGTGATAACAGCAGTATGATGATAACGCTATCGCCTCCAGACCCGGCATCCGACTCCCCCCCCCCCACCGCACCACTCGTCCATCAGGCCAGTCAGAACAGCTGCTCCGCCCGTCAGTGAGATTCGTTCGCGGTCATCGTTTTGTTTTGTTTTCAATTTTTTTCTCTCTCAACCCAATAATAAATACCGCTGTACGAACAAAATAATAATAATAATAACAATATTATGTAACAAATAACGATAATAATATGTAATAATAACAGTAATAATATTTTTATACGACACCGAATCGTCGCCACCGTAAGTACAATAAATACTATTTATTATAGTTTAGTGTTTACGCCGGCTATCGATTTTATTATTATTATTCGGTACAAATAATATATTATATATTTTCCATTTTTACTGCGGTTTTGTGTGTGTGTGTGTGTGTGTGCGGTAAAAGTCCACAATAATAATATTAATATCGGCTATGATAGCGTATTGCGTATGGACGTTCAATTCATCGTCATATTGTTGTGTATACTTTGCGGGTAAATAACGATAATTATTGACAACAACACAACAACAGTGTTTGTCAATCGCCAAAGTGTTTACCTCTACATTGGCCGTACTCGGGCTGTGATTCAAGTCCGGTTTTATTTGTTATTTTTGCTACTATCTTCTGATTCGTGTTGTTTCAATTGCAAAAAAGGGCGCGCTCGCCGCCCCTCGTCGCTTCGAAGGGACGGTTTTCGCTTTTGTTTCCATGAAAACACAACTGGGCAAAATCGATCCGGCGGCCCCAGGGACGCGGCCAACAGCGACTGCAGCAGCAGCAGCCGCAGTAGGGAGGTGCGTTTTGGATTTTCTGTTTTTTTTTCTTTTTTCTATGACATTCACACGGGGATGGGCCGTCCGATCAGCTGCTGTGTGTGGTGCAGTCCGGGGCGTGTGTAATCGTTTGGCCTTTTAGAGGGGTGTCTGTGTGTGTGTGATCTCCGTCGGTGCCGGTAGTTTTGTTTTTTTTGGAAAAACAAAAAAAAAATTTTTTTTTTTCAAAAACCTCCTCCCACTTCCCTCGTCCCACAAAAAAAAAAAATAAATAAACTCTGGGTGAACTTCAGAAAGACTGAGATATCGACACCCGCCCGCGTGTAGTAGGTAACGTTTTTTTTTGTTTCTTCGTATTATCTCTCGACCGACTCGACAAAATCAATCGACTACGCCGCTTTGACCGTGCCCTGGACATAAACACGACATGACTTTAATTAATTAATCGACTGTTCGACACGTACGTCTTCCGATATCGTACCGGCCACCGATCCGACTGCCAAACGCGCTAGCCCTCCACCTTGTAGGTACATGGTGTGATTACTACTATACCGTACCGAATACCGCACTCTTCGGGCGTCTGCTTCCCGTTCCTCGTCTCTTTAACGCTTACCTATAGTTTTGTTTTGCTTTTTTTTTTCAGGAAAAACTCGACGTAGGCAAACATGTTTTGGCTGTAGACACACGTTTGTCAACGTAAATAATACAGCGTATCGAGAATTGGGCGAGTCGTCCGTTCCACTTTTGGATTGCCGCTACGTTCATATCAAATAGTCTTTTATTTTCGGTAAGCGAGTCTGTGTTAAGTGTCTGCTAAGAAGTCGACCGGCTTGGCCACAGCGATCGACAATCGACAAACTCACAACGCTTTAAACAATATCATAGTCGTACACTAGTTAAATGTATTGTGCAGTATCGGAATAGGCGTGAGCTAACAATATATATATTATAATATCGTCGTTAGATGTTCTGTAATAATACCGTTTTGTTGTCGTAAATAATAATAGTGTAGTTCGAACGAGTTGTTGTTATACTTAAAATAATATACTAATATAATATAGTTTGTTTTAGAATCGATGAATTTTAATGTCAAATCAATGGAACTCCCCTGAAATTTTCTTACAAGCGAATCGATCGATATTTCATTTTGACAAAGTAAAACGTATTTCGAATATGATTAATACCTTATATTATAATTTTCATTGAACGTAAGGAGATCCACTGATAATTTATGTCTAAGCTAGTGCACGCTCCATATCTTGTAGTAACATTTTTTTTTTAATAAAACTATGTATACAATTTAAAAAAAATATATTCAAATAGGTTTTGTTGTTACTACGTTAAATATGCGGATTTTTGTTTTTATAAAATATAAAATGTTTTAATAAATTGTTAAATTTGATTATTGGACGAGAAATACGTTGAAATTATAATTCAGGCTTAATAAAAAATTGTTATACAATTCTTATCTGTTGATAATTATTAATGATTTATTTAGTTTGATAAATAACATATCGCAAACCTTTAATTTTTCTAGTAAATAATTAGCGGACAAATTTTGTTATTTTAATTAAACAAATATTGAATTTATAAATATATATATATAACCAAATCGAATGTACAGAAATTAAATAAAACATTTGAAAGAAGTAGATATTTTTTTTTTATATTAAAATTATCAAAACGTCTTAAAAACATACGTTTCATAGTTGTTTATGGTTTTTTTTAGTGGAGTATTTTTCATTTTCTTTAATAAATTATTCATTTTACTTTGTAAGCGGTTTTTTTTTTTAGCAATAATAATTGCCTTTAAAGTAATACAAATAAAATAAAATATATCTTGCTGTATGATATTTGGCTACATAGTACGTACAAGAAATTTAACGAGAATTATAATTTTTTTTAAATATCTGAAAAGTGAAGGGCAAAAATGCATTGTTTACCTGAGAAATAGAACAAAAATATATTTTTTTATAGCATTTGACGTTTACAAATTTATTGCATTTTTGTAAAATTAAATAAAGTGTTTGTATATTGTAATATATTGTAGCTTTACCCATCAACTATAAAATGTTACCAAAAAATAAATAAATTCAAAGAACACTTATCAATCGGGGTGAAATTGAACAATAAAAAAACCTCCTTAACGTCATATTTGTCGTTGGCTATGTTATATTATTTATAGCGTTGCATGACAAATAAAAATTCTATTGACTTACACACTAGAAAATATGCAACATTGTTTGAATTTAATTTTTTTCAGATTATAAAAGTTTTCTACAATTTTTTCAAATGCAAGTCGCAACGGTAATGCACTCTATGCAACATGCAGGAGGAGTTGCAACATATTATGCGGCTCCGAGGCCACCGGCGCACCCACATTTTTCTAGTGTGAGTACTTTTGAGTGTGTGTGTGTGTGTGTTTTGTAAACTTAGTTAAGTTTTTTTTGCATAAGCAACATAAAATTATGTATAACAATTGTTGCGTATGTATCGGTTGATTAAGTATTGCAGCCGGCGGCAATAGTGCGGTCGAGTTTGAATTAAGCTCGGTCGTTACGTTGTTGGGTGAAACGTTATTGATGATCAACAACAGTGAATAATTGTAATCGTAACGTCAGTGTAATGCAATTCTAAATTAGCAGTGTATTCTTATGGTCTGATCAAAATTAGCAGTTAATTTGTAATTGTGATTGCATTAATGATCAGAAATTTCTTTGTTTCTGACTAGCAATAACTTGTATTATTATTATTGTTGTTACTAAAACATCTTACTATTTGCTTAAAAAAATTAATGATAAACGGTTAAACTCTCTATTAAGATTAAAGTTTGTAATCGATTATCAATTGCGCCCAACACTGTGATGATTGTAGAATGATTAACAATGATTTTACCATTTCAACGTTGTTCGGTCGTAACGTTCGAGCAACTAGCCGAATTGATTAAATATTTATATATTAATCTTTACACAAATAATGTGAACGGGTTTTTATTTTATTATACGATTATATTATAAATTTGTGTATTTAGTACTTATATTTTGTCTATAGTAAAATAATGAAAGAAATTATGCAAAGAGCCTTAACGAACCCGTTTAAACGGAAAATATTGTTTAATAAAAATAAAACCAAGTTTTGTCCAGTCGATACTTTTTAGCATGAATTTTTTTTTTAATGTTATTGTCTTGTACCTTTAAGCGTGGTAAGATCGATTTGTTGCTGTCACAAATTATAAAATACGGTGTACGGTTTCTCGTTTTTAGGACGAAGCATCTTACCCTTGTTGATAAATGTTATCGACAGCACATTATTCTATTCTCTTGTCAAACACTTAATATTTTATATTACCATTTTTTTCTATACAATACTGTCTTAAGACCTATTGGAACATACCTAACAAGATCTGAGTAAAATCTTCTGTTTTACTTAATATGTTTTATTTGAAAGCGACATAGAGTAACAATATATATATATAGAAAAATTAGTTAAAATCTAGTTACCGTCTTAATTATATTATAAGAAATTATACAGTTTCCATAAAATTGTCAAAAAAGAAAAATTGTATTGGGTAAATATGTTTGAAACAATAATTTTAAAAAAATTGGAAGAGGTGGCAAATTATTTTTTAAAATAGTATTTTATTGGTGGCAATAGTTGGATATTTAATATTTTAATATCTTGATAAATAAACTTTGAAAAAACCAAGTAAGTATATTAACAAATTATTGAAATGAAACCTTTGGTAAAACTGAGCAAACCAATTTTTGTTACTTACATACAAATTTAAAGTATAATATTTAAATTTAATGATTTGTCTCGGCTCGCATATCGTTTTTCAAAAGTCATCAGCGATTAATATTATTTAAGTTAAAATATTTCATCCAAACGTTAAATTGAACAGGAGGTCACGTCGGGCAAGGTTTGTCGTAAAGAAGAGAATTTGGAATAAATTGAGTCATGTTGTCTTCAATAATAGTATAATTGTTGAAAAAACTTATCGTAATTGATCAGTTTACAAACTAATCGACCGATTCCTAATCGTTCAATAAGGGTGTTAATGGTAGACTTCCTTGTGACATCAGATTATGCAATACACACCCCCCAAAAAAAAGTGATGATTGTCCTAAAAAAAAAATAAAGAGAAATATGATATTATCTTAAATAATAATAATAATTATTAATTGTAGATTTTATACCTTGGCTGAGCTTAAGGTATCGGTCGCGCTTGCTGTTTCATTGTAAGTGTATTTTGTGTTTCTATCTAGTATACAGTTTTCAGGTTGAGCTATTTGAGTGTTTATTTTTTTATTTATTAAACGACCTCAGCATTTAAATTTAATTTTATACAAGTACATTTTTGATTTTTTGACTTGGTAAAATCGTATTATCACTTATCACCTTAAAAATGATAACATATTTTCTGTTTTGAATAACACCAAATTTGATACCAGAAATCACTTTGCCCTTATCAAATTTAGGCAAATCATAACAATCTGTTATCAATTTTTCGGCATAATATCTCATTGGACTAAATTTTTTATTTTATTTAATAATTAAATGCACTATCTGAATAAGAAATATGTTATTTCACTTTTGTTGTTCGGGGGGAAAAAAACTCAAGTAATGCAAAATAATAGAATCGTTTAATAATAATAATAATAATTGGTTTTGACGAGAATTTAATTGAGAAGAAACTAGAAACAATTCCAGCCGCCCCTTGTCGGTTTTTTTAAAAAATAATTAATAATTTTTTTCTTATATTATAATGTAAACACAATAGTCGTTCTGTACTGCGGTTTAAAAAAAATATATATATTAAAATAATAAATAATTATTATCAACGTTTCTTTCATTATAGTTTTGAAACGAATTTTATGGGCGAAAAAAGTTTTTCCATTATTTTTTATTTTGTCTCAACAACATTACAAGTAGGTAACAACGTGGAAACATAACGTTTTAGACTAATTATTTTTTTTATTTGTTTTTGTAGGTTCATTTTTGTTAACCAAACGGGGTTGAATCGATTCGTTCCATAGATCAGAAATCGTACCTGAATAAAATTATTGGCACCAAAAATCTAAAAGCTCCCTCTTCCCCTTTTGAAAACACCAAAAAATAAAGTACATTTTTTTAATCTGTAAATTACATTACGCTATAAATTTAAAAAAAATATATTCAAATTAATTCCATATTTGTGAGGATTACACTTTAGGCATAGTGTTATCAATAGGTATACTTTGATAAACCAGAAAAATAAAACGCCAAAAACCCTTTCCTCCAGAAGGTGTAGGAACTTTTATTGAAAAAAATCCAGTTTATTGTAATTAAAAATGAATTCAATTTCAATATTGTTCAATGGTAAGACGCTCTTTAGTTTGCCACAAAGATGTGTAAAGTAAAAATTGTGTTTCCAATATAATCCCCTATGCCAAAGCCAAAGTCTCAATTTTACTGATTCAATTTCAATTCTGTGAAAAAAGATATAAGAATTTGCTGGCCTTTTTTTTTGGGGTGAAGTTAGAAACGGATTTTTATTAAAAAATATTCGGTTTTTTGTAAAGGAATATCAGCACATCTACTAGAAATGTCTTTAAAAGTGATCATAAAATGTGATATATAGACAGTACATAACATGTGCATGTGAATAAAGCAGTATTTTACAATGGAGAAATTGCATATTTTCTCAGTAAACTGATTTCCCAATTGATACACTGCTTATTTACCTACAGCAGTAATATCTTAGCTAAAACGTTTTTGCAATACCATGTTGACATGTACCAAAACTATTATTGAGATTTCCAGACAGTCGAGTACTAACTAAAACCGTTGTGTGGGTATTATTATATTGTTATAACTTTGTTATCATAATCAATACTAACAGTAAAATATGCAATATTAAATACCGATAACCGACAGAACTGAGAAATTGAGGGAGAGCAATAATTTCCAGGCGAAAACAAAGAAATGGGAAACTTGAAAATTGATTTTTGCAGACAAGTGTACTGCATAATATAATATGTTTAGTAGGGCAGGATATAATATGGATAACAGCGGCAATAAATCATCAACGTAAACAGACGCTTAACCCTTTAGGTGTCCGCCCTAATACTCGAAATAATAATATTATACAATTTCCAGCTGATATTTTCAACCCGCGTGTCAATAGCAAGTTCATTAATTATACCGAGGAAAACAACAGAAGTGTGGGCTTAATGTATTTAACCTTGGCGAACAATATAATGTTAGTGTTCTGTTTCAAATTTAAGGGCTTAACAGCTGAAAATTAAACCCGAGGTAGTTCTAGTAGTAGTATGGTAGTACTATACGTCATGTACACGAGCAAACTCTCTTTTTTTTTTTTATCAAGAAACCCTCCTCCAAAAAAAAAAGGGGGAAAAATTTGGTTTAATTTTTTTTCAACACTTCAACAACTGTGGTCATTAGCCACAGCTACATATTTAATGTAAGCTCAAGGACTAATATTGTTAGTGGGTAATTCTGTGATTGTTGGGCGGAAGAAGATCCGGTCGCCTCGTCTGTTGTCTTGTCAGCAAGTGATGGCACAAATTTAATTGTTTTTTCATGTTGAGTTTTTAATAAGTTTTGGATATTTTGACCCGCGCTGGCTTTTTCCAACGCGTTGTGTAGAGAATTTTCTTCAAACGTTGATTACTCCAAGAGTGTTTTTTTTTTTTTTTCATTACTGTGGTGGGACTATACTACTTTCGCAAGACATTTGTGTGTGCTTTTGTACGGTGTGATTCTGTGTAGTAATGATAATGATAATATCGTGGTCTCCCTAAGTGCGGGTATTGTGTGTGTGTGGGTTATAATATGGCAAGGAACACAAGGCGTGGTCAGGGCACAGTGTATAGTAATGTAGGGTTCGCTTAACGATCGGCGTCCATCTTTTTTTCGGTCCCTTTACGCCAAACTCTCGGTGGAAAACGTTTTTATATAATTTTCAATGTTTGTTTGTAGCAAGATGCGGATGACTAATAAAAACACTGATAACGTTAAGGAATAATGTCGATTCGACGCCCCGTTAGATGTCTACCAAGTGCAAAGCGGCCGTCGTTTCTAAGGTGCAGTAGATACACTATAGTAATTATTATTGGGCAGTAGGAAATTAAAAATACTGTGCAGTTGACTTGACGACAATGTGTGCACTTGGAAAATTAGACGGTATATATTATAAAATAAAGCCCTACTCTTGATTTATGCCGGTAACTAATCTGGAAAATCCTTTAGTTTTATAGTACTGTAAGTTTGCTTTTTTTTTTTCAAGAAAATGGGCTATCAACAAATGGTATTTTTAGAAACAACATAATGCACATAATTTGTTTTTTTTTTTTAAGACTCCTTTAGTAGATCTTTACAATTTTTCGATT